CCCCCCCCCCCCCACGCCATGGGCCTGTATAGGATATTCTGGTATTCCAGAACGTACAAACGTTTCCAGGATTTTCGTCCATTGAACTTCTGGCGGGGCCCTTAGCCTCGAGCCAGTTTTTCGCTCCATTTGCAATGTGCTTACCAGGTCTACCCAACATGTAAATCGTTCAGCTGCCAATGGTGCATAGGGGCTGGCAAAAACGGGAAGGGGTGGCAACTTGGCAGATGACAATGATCATAACAGCTAGTGGTAAGGAATTCAAGAGCAAATGGGCTTAATGCCAAGACATAGTGGGTGGCAACAGACCGGGGGACAACGGCCCTACGGCGATGAGAGTCTGGACCGGACTAAAGGCATTACTTTCGCGACCTGTGCCGATGACTTTCTTTTAAATTTATAAGCGATTGTGTAAAGGTAAGGGTTGAGAGAGGAGTTAATAGGCAAAATAAAGGTCGCTGACCAGGCGTATATGTCGTCTGGGAGCATCCAGACACCAGCCTCGGATCCAATTCCCATCAATATAATTGGAAACCAGCAACAGAAATCGGTTAGGACGATCATTGCCATCTTGGTTGCCATCTTTATCTCCTCTGAGCGCACCTGACTTCTATTAGCTCTCGACGCTGTTCGCTTTACTGATATGTACATAGAAATATAACTCGAGGCGATGACGACGAATCCGAAAAGGTTGAAGGCGAGAAAGATCGCTATGGCGTATTCCCAGCCTGGCAGTCGGTCTCCTGCTAGCGGTAGCGCCAGACACACACTTTGTCGTCCATAGTAGTTATCTCCGAAATACGGTATGTTAATGAAGCTTAGACGGCTGAACATCGGGAGGAAACTGATAAAAATAATGGCCAGCCAGGTAATACCGATAGTTATAATGCACCTTTTACGATTGAACCGGATGTTACTGAACGGATAAGCTATGGTAACTGCACGGTCAACACTCATAAGCATCAAGATGAATACCGAGCATTCGCTGGATAATGTGGCGATAGCCCCAGCAAAACTGCAAAGGAAACTTGATTTCCAAGCTCCTGAAAACATTGAGTACACCCCTCTGTAGTATTGGTCAGCTCCTGCTATGATTATCATGTAAACCGACATCAACAAATCAGAAACTGCAAGATTAGTTATGAATATGGTTTGGACATTAAATTCATTTTCCACCAGACGCAGTATGACAACACATAAGTTGCCGATGAAGGCAGATATTCCAAGAATGAACATCAGGATTCGCAAAGCTTCTCTTTTTAAAAGATCTTTACAAGAGGAAAACTGATCAACATTTGGCTTGCAATTGGGAACATGTTCCTTAATACAGCAGATACTAAACTCATCCGATAATCTGTGTAAAGTACGTAGAAAACACAAGAAAAAAAAAAACATTCATTATTCATTGCGTAAATCATAAGTTCTCAAAAGTAAATATCAGTATTATATTCATTATTATCCTCATCAATGAAAATTGCTTTAATTAGGATTATTATTGTTATAATTAATAAACTATGAGTATGGTAACTCCGAAGAATAACTTGTAAAAGTGTTTTGAGATCTGACAGACGTGAGGCCATAATTGATTCTACGTTTCGTTGTTTATTTTAACATTGTCAAGAATGAATACCGGTATAGTTCATAATGGTGATAATTATTATTTTTATAATTAGGACTACAGCTACCATTATTATTATCATCGTCATTATCATCCCCATCGTCCTTCAGTTTATTATTATTACTTTTGTTTTTGTGTTGTTAGTAACTATGATTATGTCAGTATTAGTTGTGAAAAATTGTAAAAGTAGTGCCAAAATTGTATAAAATTTTAAAAACTTACAAAGTTTCAAGAGAAGTAAGTCCTTTAAATGAATCAGGTTTGTAGTAACTTAACACGTTATTTTGCAGATCTCTGTAACGAATTATAAAAATTACATATTCTTAAAAGAATGGAAAGGTAATTGATTTTGTTAATCGACTATCTTAAGTTTAATGTGAATGATACTAGCACAAAGTGGGGGATAATATTGTGCAGAAAGTAGGTGATAATAGGTGATAATCGACTGTCCAATAATATCAATATGTCTGACTAGATACCTGTAATTTCGGACATGAGGATATCGACAAAAACAAACATTTGGAACAAATACAATGGAGACAAATTATTTGTCACAAATATCATGATCCGCGATCTAAGTGACATTGTTTCTTTGTGACTGAATAGATAGAAGTATTTAACATTTTCGCCTCAATATAATTATAGTTATAGGTTTCTTAATCAGGCGAAACACTCAAACACGCTATTAACTTTTTAGATTTATAATTTGTGTATTGTCACTTACAACTTTCGAATACTTGTCAGACCACTGAAAGCACTTTTCGTTATCTTACTTATTGTGTTATCAGACAGATCCCTTAAAAAGAAACAAACAACTATGATCATTAGGCAAACGTGAAGTGTCACACGTTTAACATAATGAGTAGGAATGTGGTTGGTGATGAAGATGCTTGTCTCCAACTCTGATTCCATGGTCCTGTGTTTCACTACATCATAATTTGTTCTCATGAATAAAGCCATGTCCAGACTATCAAATTTTATTTAACAAAAACATGTGGCATGCCTAAATATGGTCATGATGACATCACTTCATGACCATATATAGGCACATCATGACTATATATAGGCACTTCATGACCATATATAGGCACATCATGACTATATATAGGCACTTCATGACCATATATAGGAACATCATGACTATATATGGGCATACAACAGTGTTTTTTTTGTCAAAAGTGTGGACTGAGCTTAGGGAAACAATTCAACTACTTAAGCCACATAACTTGTGGATTATCACTTACAAAAATTGAAGACTTTTCAAACCATTGAAGGCACCTTGCTGCAGATAAGCTATTTTGTTCCAACACAAGTGCCTTCAAAACATAATGAGAACAAACAAATATCAATTAGCAAAGGTATTCTAGTGTCAAAGTTGATAATGAACATAAGAGTGGAGGCTTATCAAGATAGAAGGAGCTGGCTTAATAACATTAAGGCCTTTGTTGACGATAAACTTATTACGTTGTCGACGATTGCTGTTGTCGATGTCATGTATACTTTAAGCTTATGCATACTTTTTTAAAATGAACTGAATAGTAAAAATATGTAATGCTTCGCGGCTGCTTTAGGTGTCAGAAAGCTCTGATAGGGAACTGAATGTTTAAACTTATGTATGTGTAGTACAAAGAGATTGTTGTTTTCGTCGCCATCAATGAATGGCAGCTTATGTACTTTTTGAAATTACCTAAATAGTAGGTACAACATAAAGAAAGATACGTTAAGCATAAAAATCCCTGTTAGTGTCGAAGAGGTAATCTCAATTATAAATAAATTGGATCCTAATAAAGTATCTGGATATGATAATGTTTCATCTCGGACAATTACCCAAGTCGCCCCTTACATCATAAATCAATTAAAATTTTCTATAAAATGCTCATTTATTTCTGGTCACTTTCCGGATTTTTTTAAAATAGCAAAAGTTATACCTTTATATAAAAAATGTGATAAATTGCCTCTTATATTTTTCAGCTTCTTTTTAATAACGAACTTCCACCATACATTTCTAGTCTCTTTAAAACCAAATCCTTATCTCAAAAGTATATAATTTACGTAATTAATACAAACATTCCTTGGTTACTTCACGTCCCTCATATTTAACTTAGGTTATCTGAGCATTTTCTTTCTGTATCCAGACTACGTCTATGGAATGGTATTGATGACAACTTCAAAAATGTATCTCTCCTGTTTTCCGTAAAAACATCAAAAAGCACTACTCATCTAAATATAGGCCTAATATAAATTAAGGTATATGTGATCTTACTTATATTATTTTTTTGTATTTTTATTGTATTTTATGAATTTTATTTATATATTTATATACTGTCCTTGTTTCCTTTATCAACTATTTTATATCATTATGTATAAATAGTACTTCGCTTTATCATTATATCTATATTTTGTGTATATGTGTGTACATACACATATAGGGTCTTATCCTGACAAGTGATTTTGCACTTCTAGATTATGATCCTCCTTACAATATAAGATTGTATTCACATTGCATGTATTAAAATTCAGATTGTTGGAAAATAAAAAATGAAAAAAAAAAGTGTCAAGAGGCTCTAATACTAAGGTCACATTATCAAAATTTGTGGATTTTTGTCACTTACAACGTTTGAAGACTTGTCAAATTATTGAAGGTACCTTGCTGAAGATAAGTTATTTTGTTCCAACACAAGTGCCTTCAAAACATAATGAGGACAAAAAATATGATTATTAAGCTATGTAAGTCACCCAAATAATCAGCTATTCCAGACAGAAAAGCTATTGTTTCTCTTCAGATTATCTGCTCTCCGCTTTAGTTATTTTCCGTGCTTGGATCATCTTCCCAATTAGTCCAACTAAAGACTATAAAACACAGATGTACCTAGTAAAAATGACGTCATTCTATATACATTTAATAATAATAATAATAATAACAATAATAATAATAATAATAATAATAATAATAATAATAATAATAATAATAATAATAGTAATATATTGTTTGAAGGTTTGCATGGTGAAGTAAAAATATATTTTAATGCTTGCTCTGCCAATGTCTTGTCAATCCTAATTAGAGATGGTTCTACTCGATGGACGATCTCTTCCTCTGGTATAGTCGAAGGTGCCGTAGCAATATTCAAGCCTAGGAAGAGTACTGATATCTCACACCAACAGATATTTAAACAAGTGCTCGTTTCACCATCCATCCACCAAGAAAGGAGTTTGCAACACACTTATAAGAAGAGCACACAGCATCAGTGACAGCGACTCTATCCAGTGGCGGATCCAGTAGGGGTCCCGTTCCCCCCCCCCCGTCAGTCACGTCGAAAAATATAAAAAATTAAGAAGAGTTAAAGGGCAGAAAGAAAGAGGAGATAAAATGAAGTGTACCCACGAGTTCAGTGGCGTCTCCAGCAGTGGGCGAAAGGAGAGCTTGGTTATTTTACCACTCTCTAATTTTGAATTTTCTATTGCTTGACGACGAATACAACGCTAAATCCCCGACGCTGATTTTTAAACGATTTCATAAATCAGGATGTAAAAAAGGCCAAAAGACGAAGATTTTTTAGCCGGAATATAGTACCCAGCTATAGAGAACAGCTATCCATGCACAGTGGCGTGCGGCGGTTCGCAGGGCCACCGACCCTTAGGGGCCCCTTTAATGCCCCTACCCATGAGGGTCCAGTAGGTTCCTCGCTCCAAAAGGCTTTAACACACAACAGCATATGTCATCGACTGTATGACATACATCATATTAATCCAGTGTGGGTGGGGTGCCCAGCCGGCCAGGGCCACCCTACATTTGACATAATTAAACAAAATTGATATAAAATATTCAAATTTTAAGTTTGAATGAGTGCTATTTCCTGACATCTAGAGGGGCCATAATCATAATTTGCTTTGCGACTCCCCAGTATAGAATAGACTATCGGTCCTTGATTAGACCTTTTGCGACGCCCATGAGAGGAGGGGTGTCTAAGGGAGGAGGATCAAAGCTCCCGTCAGGAGGAGGTCAATAATTTTGTCTAGAAACACTGCTTTGATAAAGCATTTTGACCGTCTGAGAGTGCCATTTTCTAGCGTCTAGAGAGGCCTATTCTTAAAATTTGCTCCAAGGACGACCGACCCTTAGGGGCCCTTCGGTTTCCCTACCCATAGAGGCCAGTAGGGACCTCGCTCTATAGCACACTGGTCCAATTTTGTTGATACATAACAGCATATGTGTCACTGACATCATATTAATCCATAGGGGTGGGTTGCCCAGCCGGCCAGGACAATCCTGCATTTGTAAACATTTTTTTTTTTAATGGAGATAAAATATTCAATTTTTAAGTCTGAACGAGTGCCATTTCTTGGCATCTAGAGATGCCGTAATTATAATTTGCTTTGCGACTCCCAGTAGGCCTATTAGAATAGACTATAGGTCCTTATTTAGACCTTTGCAACGCCCGTGTCTAAGAGAGGGGGAGCATAGTTCGGGTCCGGAGGAAGTCAATAAAATCGTCGAGGAACACTGCTCTTAAAAAGTATTTTTACCATCTGAGAGTGCCAATTCCGAGCGCCTAGAGGGGTCTATTCTTAAAATTTGCAAACCTCAGCCCCAAGCATAGTAGGCTCAGCCCCAAGCATAGTAGGGCTGAGGTGGGTATGGAATACCCATTTCCCCCACCCACCACCCCCGGTCAGAAAATTTCTGAATCCGCCCCTGCTTTTCAGAAAGCAGTGCAGCATGTGAAGGAAGCCCTGAAACTGAACGGTTATCACATGAAAGATTTTTAAATATCCAAACGCAGCAATAGCCAAGATAATACGGAATCCAGAAAGTCTGTATGTTTACCATATTTGGGACAGCTTTCACACCGTATTCAACGCATTCTACAAGAAGCCGATATTAAAGTGTTTCATAGTGCAACCAACAAACTATCCCGGACTATTCAAACACACAAGGATAAACCACCATCGGATTCCACGTGAGTGTGGAAAGGTTTACATTGTGAAACAGGACGTGATCTCCGTACATGCTCAAGGAACACCAAGGTCATGCTAGAGAGGTGAACAACAAAAGTTATCTATAGTCATGCACTCCCATAACAACAACATCGTGTATATTGGGACGTTGGGATAAATCTGAACTGATGGCCACTGTAACATCTTTTCAGACGGACCGAAGAGGCTATAGAGATTTACAAACACGATAAAGTACAAGATACCGGATTTGTCATCAGCGATATTTGGTGGTCCATGTTTAATCGGACCAAAACCAACACTTTTCCCGCCACACTGGAAACCATTGTTTTTGGCTTTCCTTTCACCTAGCTATAACAATGCCACTGTCTCGGTTTTCTAGGCATGCCCCACCCTTTTGCACAGACTATGAATTTTGGGTTTTGTATTAGCCTTTTCACACGTATTCTCAGCTATTGTTGTTTTCAACAGCAAGTCTCACTACCCAAAACATACGGTATACAGTAAGTGTTTTGGACTTTCTGCAGATACTATTCTCCTGAAGACGATTGAAGCAACTCAATCAAACCGTCGAGATATACTTAACCAACAACAACAGTTCTTTTCATAACTATCTACGTGGCGTACCGCAAGCATTAATATAATAATAATAATAATAATAATAATAACAATAATAATAATAATAATAATAATAATAATAATAATAATAATAATAATAATAATAATAATAATATTTATAAAGTGCACATATCCACTGCAGTAGTGCTCAAGGAACAACTCAATATTTAGAAGCTGGTAATTAAACATATATTTTGTATTTTAAGTTGTGGATTGTCACTTACAAAGATTGAAGACTTGTCAAACCATTGAAGGCGCCTTGCTTTATATTAGTTATAGCGTTACGGGACAAAACCCTGAGAACAAAGTACTATGACTATTAGTACCAAAATAATTTATAACACAATAGTAGGTTTAGCTTAGTAGTAAAGACAATTGGCCAGGGATTGCGCCAAAAAGAAATACTATGATAATAAAAATATACTAGTGTCAACATTTATTTTAAGCACTAGAGTGGGGGTGGTAGCTTCATAGTGGAGATGCCTTCCAATTTTAGAAATTTTGTTTAAATTGAATTTGGATCTGTTATTTATTTTGTTAGACAAAGATTTTACTATGTTGTCGACGATTGCAGTTGTTGGCTGTTTCTTATTTATCAACAATATCTTTGTTGTTTTCATCGATGATTGTCAGCCATTGCATACATTTGAAAACATCTGAAGAGTAATTAATGTGTGAAATGTTGCACGACTTGTTTTAAGTTTCAAAAAGTTTTAATACGGAACTTATATTATTGATAATTTTTGTATTGTCACTTACAACGTTTGAACACTTGTCAAATTACTGAAAGAACCTTTCCGTAGGTAAGTTATTTTGTTCGAAGACAAATCCCTTTAAAACGTAAAGATAACAAGTATTATTATATTAAACGATGTGGATGGTGCACAACTTACTTTGAGTCTCAAATACATACCGTAACTGAAAATTGTGGATTGTTACTTACAATGTTTTAAGGCTTGTCAAACTATTAAAGGCACCTTGTTCTATATCAGTTATTATGTTATCATACAAATCCCTTGAAAAAAAGAGACAAACTCCTTCAAAGAAATGAAACCAAATTACCATGAGGCCAAAAATGCTATGTTGCCCTTCTCGACTATGACAATTTGAATTTGAACTAAGACCCAAAAATTGTAAGGCTGGTATCTTCACAATACTCAGGTGTTCTAAATCAGTGTTGGCACTAGTAAACAGGCCAAATCGTCGGTCGGTTTTTAAAAAAAATACGGTACTGGAATCATAATTTCAAAATAGGTGTAAGGTATGCTAAATATATTTTGTAATTATATTGAAATGATATCTTCAAAAAAATCGATAACAAACATTTTAATTGGACTCTTGAACGTAGACAATTATTTGCTTAACATCATTCCAATTCACACGTCCGGTCGAAGCATATAGACCTAAATTTCAATAATGTTTTTGGGGGGGTTTTAACGATGACGTGCAGCCCATGCATAATTTGTGAAATGCCCTGAATTGTAAATAATGTGGAATGCATTGCATCTTGCTTTGAGTGTTAAAATTACATATCTAATATTATTTAGAATTTGTTGATTGTAACTTACAACGTTTGAAGTCTTGCCAAATTTTTGAAAGCATTTTGCCGCAGATAAGCTATGATATTCGATGACAAATCCCTTCAAAATATGATAGAACAAAAAACCATGATTATTAAGCAAAATAATAATGATTGTTGTGTCGACGTTGCTTCAAAAATGTCTCGCCATACCTAATTTTATAACATGCATAGTATTAAGCAATTTCAACTTGGTTTGAGTGTCAAATATATAACTGAAAAAAATAACTTGTAGATTGTCACTTACAGTGTTTCAAGACTGGTCAATTCATTGAAGAGTCCTTGCTGTAATCCAGTTATTTCATTATTATGTAAATCCCTTGAAAATAAGAAAATCATTCTTTAACCGCTAAGAAAATGGTGTAGTGCCAAAATTAATTTAGAACACGACAGTGGATGTGTAGCTTGCTAGAGAAGACGTTTGCCTTCTAATTTTAGAGTATCTTGTTTGTTCAAATTCAATTATTGTCGTTGTTATCAACGATGATTAGTATTCTTCATTGGTGACGAAAAATTAATTACGTTTTCGACGTTGATTTATATATTAATGATATTCCTTTACTTTTAAATTATTCAAAATGTTTAATGTATGCCGATGATCTTAAAATTTATAAAATTGTTAATGATATTGAGGGTGCCTACGGTCTTCAGGAAGATCTTGATATATTGAATCAGTGGGCGCTCAGGAGAGTAAACTTGTCAACAACCCTCTTCTCTTATCATATATATCCATAACAACCCCCTGATACCTCATTCATACATATGAATATAATTAGTAAAGCGAACTGAATTTAAATTACTTTACCAACCTTCGCGATGCAAGTCATGAGAATTTTTCGCACTAATTTATCTGTTAATTAACGAAACTGATTGATTTTCGTTAGATTTTTGCATCAAAAGTGGATAACTTTCCTAAAGCAACAAAATGGCCAATTCAAATTTCAATTCTGTATACCTTCATTTTTTGTGTTAGAAGGGACAGTATATCTTTAAATTTAAAATAACAGGCCTAATTAACAGGCCAAATTTCATTCATTAATAAGCAATAGACCTTTCCAGAGTGTCAATCAAACTTAACAACGAAATAAACATTTCAGCATTCGAGAGAGAATACAGTCACTGAAGTCCTTTTTGGTCGGCGCATGCAGACAGGTAAAATCGTGCGATGATTTCATAACTAAACTAGGCTAGGCTACGGCCTAGTAGTGGCCTAGGGGGAGGAGGCCCGGGCGGCCTCTTGCCTGGCCGTAGGCCTATATCTACATTTGTTCCTTGAGTCTTTAAAATAGTTCTGGAATATTCCTATTAAACGTTCAGTTTGTGTTTATGAGGGTCCAGTGATTCAATGAATTCCTTAATTGTTCATAACTTAATATTGAATTTAAAGTAACTTTTTTCATGTTCTAATTAAGTTTGTTTTACGTAAGTAACTTTCAATTACAATTCAATTTTTTTAGTTTTATAAAAAAAACTAAAATTAAGAGACGGCGATTGACTAATAAAGCAATTAGTAATAGTAGAGCATGCATCATACACTAAATGGAAAATTATTATACTTAGGTTAGATTTAATGCATTCAAAAAATTTTTCAAGCATTTAATCTAACCTTCGTATAATAATTTTCCTATAGTGTACTATGCGGAGCTCTACTAATTGCTTATTATGCAATTATAATGAATTGTCCTTATTTACTTGGAACTCGAGTGTTGAGGTAGCTTGGAAGATGATGCTATGCTAAAAATGCTATTCTTCCAATTTCAGATTCTATGGTGAAATTGACACCAGAATATTTTCTCTTGACCCCCACTCATTATGTAGGGTAGGGCAAATGTATGTGTGTCGTAAACAAAGTTGTCATCATCATCGATAGTTGATTATTAGCCAATGTATACATTTTAAAATGACCAGAAACGTAAATAACGTTGTATTTTTCGTGACGTGGTGACGTGCTTAAAGTGTCAAGAATATTTAATTTATAATTGAATTATCCATATGGATTGTCACCTACAAAGTTTTAAGACTTCTCAAACTACTGAAGACACCTCTAGGTAGAGCATTTATTTTGTTCCAAGACAAGTGCCTTCAAAACATAAAGAAATATAATGTTTTATTAATGATTATAATTGTTGTCGACGTCATTACATTATGTCATGTCATGCATGTTTGAAATGAGCTGAATAGTAAACCATGTATGATTGACAAGTATGTGTTTATGTATCATGTATGTATGTGTTAATGTATGTATGTATGTGTTGTAGATGTGCGTGCGTGTGTGTATGTATGTATGTAATGAGTAATGTACATGTATGTATAGAGGGACTATCAAATACATGAACTGATAACATAACTTGTGGATTGTCACTTACAATTTTTGCAGACTTGTCAGGCCATTGAAGACGCCTAGATCGATACCCTGTAACTTATTGCGATTCAAATCCCTAGAAAATGAAAAAAAAATATCACTAAGGAAAGTATATTAGTACTATTTTGTTCCCTCTGGAGTGGGTGTAGCTTGTAAATTGCAGTTCAGATTATCTATTTTCTTTGACAAAAAACTGTTGTATGCCCATGTACAGTCATGGTATGCCTACATATGGTCACGGTTTGTTGTCATCCTGACCATATTTAGGCATGTCAGGCTTTTGTCAAATAAATGTGATAGTCCAGACAGGGCTTTAGAGAAGAGGCTTTGCTTCCAACTGTAAAGTCTGTGTTCATACTCAATGACATTATCGCGTTATATGTCAAAGACAATTTAAAATGTAAATGAAAACAACACTGTCATCATTATTAAACAAATGTATATATAATGATAATCTTTTATTTTAACCGACGTTTTTTGTTTTGTTTTTTATTTTGTTTTGTTTTGTTTGGTTTTTTTTTTTTCTATTTTCTATGACTGCTTGTTTTATTGTCTCCTCTGAATATTTTGTATTATTTATTTATTTTATTTATTTATTTAGGCACACAATACATGTGCCAAGGATTGTCAATAGCGAATATATCACTATCCTACTTGTAGGTGACAATCCCTTACACAAGACAAACATACACACACAATGCCTTTACACAGGGAGTGGAGTGGTTTTGGTCGTGAGAAAAAATCCTGCAACTGGCAGGAATTGAACCCAGGACCCTGGGATTGGAAGGCAAGCATTTTAACCACCAAGCTATTCAACTCCACTCAAATCCAATCTGTTATTCATAACATAGTGATCTCCTTCTCAATAATACCTCCATGGTACAACAAAGCAAAGATTTATAGCGCCATCTATAGTGAGATTGTATATTGTTCGGGTTAAGTACAATATGCGTTCGATTGGTTCGAACCAACCAAGTTTGTTGCTGATTGGTCCACGGAAAAAAAACTAAAATTCATGCCAATATTTTCCATGATTTATAATAATTGGAGTAATGCAAATGCATATTTTCTATTTTAAAAAAAAGTCAGTTTTTAGTGAAATTTTGCCGGGAATGGCGCTTTAAATACCATACTAGACTGTCCCAGAATTGTTTTCTTGATTCAAATCATAACGAGATTTATAAATTATATCTATGTAGCTTGTTTTGAGTGTCAAGCGAAGCTTTAGTCACTTACAACGTTTGAAGACTTGTCAAACGTTTGAAGGTACCTGGTACTAAACCAATTAGTGTGTTCGAAGATAAATGTCTAAACACATAAAGAGAACAAACAATTATGAATATCAAGCAGAAGTTAAATAACGAATGTGTCGACGTAGTTGACAAAATGTCACGCCATCCATACTTTTTGAAATTACAGTAACTGTAATAGAAAACAATGTAATGCAATGATTCACAATTTGCTTTTGAGTGTAAAATACAAAACAGATATTACATAACTTCTTAATTATTACTTACAATGTTTTAAGACTGATCGAACCAATGAAGAAAGATTGTCCCATTACAGTTATTTCATTACGATGCAAATTCCTTGAAAAAATGAAAACAAACCACCGTACTTAAGCAAATTATATAACAGTACCATTTTGATTTTGAGCACGAGAATGGCGGTGTAGCTTTGTAGTGAAGATGCTTGCTTTTCTCAAATTCACTGATCGTCGTCCACAATGATTGTTGTCTTTTCAATGATGAGGATAATTTTATTATTTTATTAAGTTTTCGACCACTGCTGTTGCTGTTTTCTTCGTCAATGAAATTGAAATTAATTGAAATCTAAATAATGTAGAATGCTCCGCGGCATCCTTTGAGTGACAAGAAGCTTTATTATAGGCCTATAACTAATACTTTTTATAATTTGTAGATTGTTACTTACAAAATTTGAAGATTTCTTAAATATCTGAAGGCACTTGGTGTTTCTGGAATATGACGGAACAGTTCAAAGGAAATAAACATAGAACTATGTGGGTAGGATAGTGGTGACACCCATGGAAAATATATTTTGTTCGAAGACAAATCCCTTCAAAAAAAAAAAAGGAAAGCAACGACAATGATCATTTATCAGAAGTAATTCAGTGATTTTTGTTGTTGTCGACGTCATTAATAAAATGTCACGTCATGCAAACTTTTTAAATGACCAGAATAGCAAACAATATGGAATGGTTTACAACTGGCTCTGAGTGTCAAATAGGCCTACATAACTGATAACATAACTTTTTAGAATGTCACTTACAATATATTCAGACTTGTCAGATCACTGAAAGCATCCACCTTTAGATAAATTATAGCGTTACCGGATAAACTCCTTTAAAAATGAAAACAAACTACGATTGGAGAGTGGTTTACGGTGGGTAGCATAAGCATACACTTAAGCATTGTGGTGCCGAATACACGATCTGTATTGGCGAGAAATTTCATCATTATCATTTACAATCAGCGTAATAATATGAATAAGTTAATATAATTATTAAGCTACGCTAAACTTTCACCAGAGATTATCAATGACAATCGTACTTACAGGTATTTCAATGAAGGATCGACTATCCCGCGATTCCATTTTTTTACAGTGCATTTAACTTTAAAGTCTTTGCAAGTGCATACGGTTGGACAATTAATAGTTACACCTACACCCAAAAAAAAGGAAAAATATAAATGAACTATTAATGATTTGATAAAAGATAAAAGAAAAAGCCGCTTAAACAGTGGTGGCGCCAGGATTTTCCTTACGGAGGTGGGGGCC